GTTAATCATAGCCGCCACTTCGTCGAACGAGTCAACGGAGTCCATACCCAGACAATTGAGAGCTACTGGAATAGAGCCAAGGCAAAGCTGAAAAAAATGAACGGAGTATCGAAAAGCATGTTGCCTGGGTATTTGGATTTATGGAGTTATTGGAGTTTATGTAGAGGGAGCGGTATGGAAGAACTGACGACGAGGCAGTCACTAACATTCTACGCCACATTTCGGAACAGTACCCCCTAAATTAAAACTAAACCATTTTGATGCGGCAATCAAAAAAAATAAATAAACCATTTCGACACGGCATTCTAAATTAAAACCATTTTGGTACGGCAATCCCAAAAAAACTAAACCATTTTGTTGCGGCGTTCTAAATTAAAACCAAACCACATTTCGGTACGGCATACTAAATTAAAACCAAACCATTTTGGTACGGCATTCGAAAAAAAACAAAACAAACAAAACGGCCCTTTTCAGGGCCAAAACATCCTCCAAGAAGGCATATACCGTAAAAAATACACAGACACATAATCACACACATTATTTGTCTCAATAAACATATTTTTGTTAGCAAACGCTTGACCTGAAAGAGAGATAAAAGTAAATAATTAGTACTTGAGTAAGTGTGAACAACGCAAGCTAGCTTCTCCCCTTTTTAGAACCACCCATACCCACAACCACCACCCCCACACCTAAATGGTATAGTCCGGCACGCAACATCCTTTCAGACTAATACATTGTAATTGTAAGTGGAGCAATACAGCAGAAAAATAATATAGTATATCTTTGTGTTGACATTTACAGATTTTGATCTTGGTAAGCTGCAATCTAATGAGACTATAAATGATGTCGTGTTGCCAAGGTGGGCGGAGTCTCCAAATGATTTCATCTACAAGCACAGGTTGGCATTGGTAAGTCAGTGATTGTCAAAAATATGCCTGCATACAATGCAGACTTGATATTTCTAATTGAAAACTGAAATCAGGCGCAGTAATGACTGCTATTTTATCTAATATCTATCTCCAAAGCAACATTGGTGTTTGTCATGACTTTACTTTCAACCATTGGAGAGTATGAATGCTCATTTGCATATTGCAAGTCCTACTATTTGGCAGAGGTGTATGTATAGTTGTAGATGTATCAAATAAAAATTATTTGTGTTTCAAATGTAGAATGCTCGTATGAATCAAGAATTCACATTTTTACGCCCTACTGAATAGTTTAGCAGATTGGGTTTCATGTCTGTATCCTTCTATTTGTCTGTCCACCACATTATTTCAGAAGTTCAGGGACTGATTCTCCCTGGTATTTCTACATACAGTAGCTCTTTCATGATGGTATACATATACCCCAGATTTGTTTTTCTGTTCAGATTTTAAATGGCTGACTGGTGGCAATATTTGACCCAAAAAATGACCTAAAAACTTACTAAAGCACATGGTCTATAGCCATGTCTCACATTGCTGATTGTACCGGTAATCAAACTTTACAACTAAATTCAGGTATTCAGTTTTGTTTACCATACTACTGAACTAATGGGGACTTGTTCATATTGGATTCAACTCAGTAAATTCCATTATTTTATCCACACCCACATGATGATTGTGCCAGGAGCAGCAGCTTGTTGGGAACGAAAGTGCCAAAAATCAAATTAATGGTCCTGAAAATGTTGCAAGGGAGATTAATATTGAGATAATAGTTTTTCTGATCAGTTCATTTTATTGTCCTCTGTAGTATACAAGCAAATTGAGACAGATTTCTTACTTGATGTTGAGACTTGACAGATTTCTTACTTGATGTTGAGACTTGACAGATTTCTTACTTTGATGTTGAGACTTGAACAGATTTCTTATTTGATGTTGAGACATGACAGATTTCTTATTTGATGTTGAGACATTGACAGATTTCTTACTTGATGTTGAGACTTGACAGATTTCTTACTTGATGTTGAGACTTGACAGAAATCTTACTTGATGTTGGGACTTGACAGATTTCCTACTTGATGTTGAGACTTGACAGATTTCTTACTTGATGTTGAGACTTGACAGATTTCTTGTTTGATGTTCAATTTGTTGAGACTTGACAGATTTCTTACTTGATGTTGAGACGTGACAGATTTCTCACTTGATGTTGAGACATGACAGATT